TGCTTCCCCTCCCCCTCGTTTGAGACGGGACATTCAACACTTAGTACGGCGTCACAATCGAATGATGTCCTCTTCAAAAGGGGAATAGGCAAATTGTGTTCTTTCTGCTTCGGAATATCAGATAGATGACATCTGCTGACTTGATGAAACTACGATATGACGAGGGTGAAATCTCCTCTCATATCATGATCAGTTTTCTCCTTCTTGCTTGACTAGTTCTGTACCATATGGCATCTGGTCAAGAAAGTTGCAGATGTATTTAAATGATGATAACTGAAATTAGTGGTTATCATCAAAGCAACTTGAGAGATTATAATGACGGGAGAGACGACCGGCCTCGAGACAGTCAGACAGATACAGCTACCACTAACTACCTTACTGTAGCGAGTTAGACTGTTTGTACCTTAGACCTTGCTTATTTGGGGACTCTTGCTGTAAGTTACTCTGTACCTAGGTAGCTACCTTAAGAGTCCTAGACTGAGCTCTGGCTTTCCCTCTCCTCCTCCTTCTCCTCCTCCTCCTCCTCCACTTCTCCCGCCCACATTGGCTGGCTCGACCGTCCTCCTCTTTCATTCACGGATACTGACTGACTGACTGACTGGCTTAGCTTGCTTACCTTACCTTTCACCGCACACCACCATACTCTACTCTCTCACACTCAGTCTGCTGGCTGTCCTCCTCCCCCCATCAACTCACTGTTCTCCATCTCCAAATAATTATTTTATTTCCATCTCATTTTCTGTCTTGACCTTCTCCTCCACCACTACCTCTGTCCCCCATTCACACCCCATCATCGTTATCTCGATTCTGCCATCTCCATTTCATCTCCTTTTCGACGATCCTCCTCACCGCGATTTTCCTCCCTATCCGTTATACCTTTACCCGCCCTCGCTCTCCATCGCCGTTCTTGAGCCTGAGTATCTTCTGGAACGGATTTTAACGCACTCGCTTTCAAGAGATCTTTTCTATATCTACAGTTTGCAATATGGTTGTAGCTACAATTAAGTGCGTTGAATTCCCTCATTGCTTTACTTGTACCTTCGCCATCAGTTCCCCTCCCCTTTCCCCTCTTCTATTTTCCCCCTTGTCCTTTCTGGGTAGTACCTTTAGTGGACAGTCAAAGTGTCACTGTGGATCAATCAAATGCTAACGAGGTTCTTTTCATTCTGTACAGGTGTGTCGTCGTTGGTGATGGTGCTGTTGGAAAGACATGCCTTCTCATCTCGTATACAACAAACAAGTTCCCCTCAGAATATGTCCCCACTGTCTTTGACAACTATGCGGTTACTGTCATGTAAGTGACATCTGACACTCGAGTTTGCGGTTGAAATGCACCCTCGCGATACAACCTCAACCTGTCATTCTTCGCCCTCGCCTCCCTATAGTCGAGATCAGCGCATCGCATCTGTGTTGGAAGCGATTTCGTCTTAGCCATCGTCAACTAACTCGGATTGACCTGCTATAGGATCGGCGATGAGCCTTATACCTTGGGATTGTTCGATACCGCCGGTCAGGAGGATTACGATCGTCTCCGCCCCCTTTCCTACCCTCAGACAGATGTCTTCCTGGTCTGCTTCTCGGTGACCTCTCCTGCCTCGTTTGAAAACGTCCGCGAGAAGTGGTTTCCCGAGGTTCACCACCACTGCCCCGGTGTGCCTTGCCTGATCGTCGGTACCCAAACTGATCTTCGGGATGACCCTGCCGTCCGCGAAAAGCTCGCCCGCCAGAAGATGCAACCCATCCGCAAGGAAGATGGCGATCGGATGGCGAAGGAACTGGGTGCCGTAAAATACGTCGAATGCTCCGCTTTGACACAGTACAAGCTTAAGGATGTCTTTGACGAGGTTCGTATCGGCTGCGATTCAAATACCATAAATGAGATCGGGCACTGATTCGGACTTCCAACCATAGGCAATTGTTGCGGCCCTGGAGCCTGCCCCAAAGAAGAAGTCTAGATGCGTCCTGTTGTAAAATCTCCCGTCCAAAATTTTCTGTACATCAAAGGCGATTCAGGTTGGTCCACTTCAGAGGGAGCCTCTTTTCATTGAGAGTATTGACGCATTGACGCTAGCCCCAACAGATATTACGCGACCCAGCTTTCATCGAAGAGTGCCACAGGTCCATGGAGTTTCGGAAGCCTGCTTTCCCAGTTACAGGGTCACTGCTTACTCGATTAAAGTCACACTGTAATCTCTCGAGCCCATCACCTCTTCTTTGCGCGGTACCACTTTCTTCGAAACAATGCTCCATTCCTATCGCCAGCTTGGCCATGTCACACGATTCCTTTTGATTCCTTGAATCTTCGTCCATGTGTCGATCTTCAATACGTGCCGCTATATTCTCTTCGGCAAGCTAACACCTTTCTCTTCTCCTTGCTCACTGCGACGGGCTCATCTCTCTTTATCTCTGCTCTATTTGTCCCATACCTCTTCTCAATGTCCGTGCTCTTTATCCTACCTCAACAAACCATTCTTGATCCCCGATTTTTATTACCCCAGGTTGCGATCAACCTCTCATCGTCTCTATCGGCGTTGGAAGTCAGGGCGTCGTGTTTTGGCCGGCTGATGATTCTGATCTGTTTTCAAACTTTTTTTTTCTCCTTTCCATCTTCTTATCTTGCTGCGTGATCTGTCGCTTCTCTGCCACCAAATATTCCCTCCTACTTCGACTACATGCTTTGACCCTTTTCATGACGCTTTATTATGATTTCCGCAAGACACTTGGAACTAGAGTAGTACAGACGACAGATAAAATCAAGCAAGTGACATGAGCTGGATGAATTCCTTTCCGCTGCATTGCTCTACTTAGTCTTCGCGTCACGGATTGGCTTGTCGACTTGTACGCAAGCATCGATTTTTCCAATGCCTTAGTGGCGTAAAGCTCTCTTAATGGCCGTATGGTATTGGAGTACCTATGGAGTAGGATCGTTAATTTCATTCAATTGTGTCATGTGACCAAGATGCCGCTCTATGCACTTCAATTCTCATGCGGAATTGCTGGACTCGCGACCGTCCCTTCAGCCACGACTCAACCGCATGACTGTCAAAGGTGCATTCCCTGATTGATTATAATTCGTCCTTCGTCTCCGCCTCCGCCTCCGCCTCCGCCTCCGTTTCTTCCTTGCCAATCTCCTCCGCAGATACCTGACCATCAGCCTTCCGTCCGTACCAACCGCCGAGGTCCTCGCCCGCGCCGGCCTTGACAATACTGGTGATAATCTCAAAGGCGACCTGCGCCGCTGCCAGAGCGGTGGTCTCGCCCTTGTTGTCGTAGCTGGGGGACACCTCGACGATATCCGCGCCGACAATGTTCAGCTTCTCAATGCCGCGCAGGATGCGAATGAACTCGCGGGTGGTCCAACCGCCGGGCTCCGGGGTACCTGTTCCCGGCGCGGTGGCGGGGTCCAGCACATCGATGTCGACGGACAAGTAAACGGGCTGTTCCGGGTCGAGGCCAATACGCTCGATGATCTTGTCCACGATGCCCATGGGGCCCAGCTCGTCGATGTCATCGGCGTGGATGCGCATGAACCCTTGCTCGGGCGTGTTGGGCGCGGTGTAGTCGCTGTCGTCGACGCCCGTGAGCCGGGTGCGCAGACCGGCGTGGGCGGAAGTCGAGTTGCAAATCAGGCCTTCGCGGCTCGCCTTGTGGAAAAAGCTGCCGTGGTTGAAGTGCGACTGTTCTGATGTCCAGTAGGCCGAGTACCGGATCGGATTCCAGGTGTCGAGGTGCGCGTCAAAGTGCAGCACCGTGATGGGCTTCTGGTAGATCTGGTACAGGGCGCGTAGAGCCGGCAGCGCAACGCTGTGGTCGCCGCCCAGCGTCACGAGTTTCGCCTTGCCGGCGGAGATACCCTTGACGCCGTACTTGGAGTCCGCGGGCGTCACAGCCGCCCGGGACCCGAGTTCCAGGAAGGCTTCGTACATCTGGCGCTCGGCCAGGCCGTTGTCGAAGGGGGTGATGGGGATGTCGCCGCAGTCCTTGACCGTCGCCCAGGAGCTGTACGGATTGATGCCTGCGCGCGTGTTGTAGCTGGTGCCGGCCATCTGGCGGGCGCTGGCGGCGCGGATCGCACGGGGACCGAAGCGGGCGCCTGCGATTGATATTATTAGGATGACCCTGCCATTCGCATATAACTGGCTAGCAACGTACCAGGTCTGTAGCTGACAGCTGTATCAAAGGGCGCGCCGATCACAGCGATATCGTAACGCTCATCGGGCTCGACCAGACACTTGACGGGCTTCATGTGGGCGAAGCTGGCAATGCCGGAAAATGTAAACTAGATACAATGAGCATCGTATGCGTCTGTGTATAGGTAATCCTGCAATATCCCTCGTACCTCCTGGTCCCATTTTTTCAGCAGTTCTTCCCGCAAACTCTCGGGTACAACTTCGGCATCGTCATGATGGGCGTGGGCCAGGGCCGTCCCCGCCAAAGCCAGCAGGCCGACCAGCGTAGTCTTCATGATGGTATATCTGAGAAGGGCAGAAGACTCCTAGGTGCAATGGCAAAAGGGCTGAGAAGAAGAGGGATGCGATAGGAGAAGCTTGACTCTTAATATGTTCTCCAATTCTGCAGCAAACCGGGGCTCACTCGGCGATTTCATCGAATCATGGAGAATCATAACGCTTCTAGGTATCTATCGAATATTCTACTATCAATTATGATATATCAACCTGGCGACAAATCAGAATCAATTCTCTGGCTCTTTTCCGTCGACCGCAGACCCGCTGCGCTGTACTTAGTTGACTCTCTGCCCATGGACCATAAAAAAAAGTGGGCTGCTTCGTTCTGACGTCGTGCAGACTTTCCCTTCTGGTCCGTCCCAGACTCCCAGTGACCACTGGTTAGACGCTGGTCAGGTATTGGCTGGGTCGGAAATAGGTCAAATTTCAACTTCATAGAGGAGCACCTTACCTAGGTCGATACCTTAGTTATCTACCTCTTGAACAAGCTCTACAGTGGTTTGTTTGTCCCCTTTGGCCACCAATCAGTATGCCATGCGTCGGGTTGTTGTAACGGGTTTAGGCGCAGTCACACCTCTGGGTGTAGGTGAGTCGATACCATCCCTTTGATTTTTTCACTTTTCCTGCATGCCAGCATCTATTTGCATCTGCACTAGCACTAGATTATCTTGACATTGGTGCTTGGGAGACTATTTCGTCGCGTTGTTCTGGTTTCTCCTCTCTTCCTCGGTCTCCAACAACTGGGCTGGTTCCCTTCCCCACTCCTCCGATTGTCCAGAAGGGGAAGGTCTTTGCATGCGATCAATCCCGGAATTTTGCACCGGATGGCTTTGCTGATCATGCCGCTTTATCCTTGCTTTCATGTATAGGGGTTCGTCGCACCTGGAAACGCCTGCTGGATGGTCATTGCGGTATTGTCAATGTGAAGCACCGCGACGCTCGGTTCGCGGACTTGCCATGCCAGATTGCTGCTGTGGTGCCTGCAGGCCCCCGGCAGGAGGGCGGTTGGACGGCTTCGGAATGGCTAAGCAGAGATGTATGTGATGATTGCTATCGTCGCTTCCTGATTGAATTGGAGTATTTGTGCTGGGGGTAATGACTGGTTTGGCAGGACGAGCGGAAGATGGCTCGGTTCGCTCAGTATGCCATGGCTGCCTCCGAGGAAGCGCTGGAAGATGCCGGTTGGAAGCCTACGGCGTTTGAGGAGAGAGAAGCTACGGTGCGTGACGGTTGATGCGCTACTTACTCGAAGCGCCGTGGCTGATGATGTGTTTAGGGTATTTGTCTGGGTTCTGGTATCGGGAACTTTGATGAGATCTATGACACGGTCGTGGCATATGACAAAGGGGTTGGTCTTTCCGCTCATGAGTCCAACGCGCCTCATTATTGACAGAGTCTCGTACAGGGGTACAGAAAGGTATCTCCGTTGTTTGTCCCAAAGCTCCTGATCAACCTGGGCGCCGGTCATATCTCTATGAGGTATGGATTTATGGTGAGCGATTGCCCCTGAGTCAATCACTGAACGAGACACTTATTTTGGGAAGGGCCCCAACCATGCGGTCACAACGGCCTGCACGACCGGAGCGCATTCGATCGGTGATGCAGCTCGTTTTATCGCTTGTGGTGATGCGGACTTGATGCTGGCTGGCGGTGCGGAGTCATGCATTCATCCGTTGGCCATTGGCGGCTTTGCTCGAGCAAGAAGTCTCGCTACTGATTTCAATGATGCCCCGGAAAAGGCATCGAGACCCTTTGATGCAGACCGGAAAGGATTCGTGGTCGGTGAAGGCGCGGCCATGCTAGTATTAGAGGTGGGTGACCTCTTCGACTTGACGACATCAACTGGTGCTGACTAGAGCCTGTTTTTCATCTATTAGGAGCTGGAGCATGCAAAGGCCAGAGGCGCTCGCATTTACGCAGAGCTGAAAGGCTACGGCTGCTCCGGCGATGCCCACCATATGACAGCGCCTAAGGAGAATGGCGAGGGGGCATGGATGGCGATGAGGAAGGCTCTAAAAAATGCGAGCCTCTCACCGTCGGCTGTCGACTATGTCAATGCACACGCTACGTCCACTGTGGTTGGGGATGCTGCGGAAAATGCAGCAATAAAGTCTCTCCTTCTCGGCCCCGGAGGGAAGCAGAACGCGGCTGAGATCAATGTCAGCAGCACAAAGGGGGCTGTAGGTCATTTACTCGGTGGCGCGGGTGCTCTTGAGTCGTTATTCACCGTCCTTGCTATCAACGAGGTGGGTTCAGCAGCTATAAGTCGAGATAAATGTACTTGACTGACTGTTGATCGTTAGAATGTGATGCCACCGACCATCAACTTGGACCGTCTGGCGGAAGGCTTTGACTGCAACTATGCCCCGAACCAGGCACAAGAGCGTCAGATCACAGTAGCACTAACAAACAGCTTTGGATTTGGAGGGACGAATAGCAGTCTGTGTTTCTCGAAGCACGGATTATGAGGCACATTTGGTTTTCTGGATCAGAATAGCAGTTCCAACACTGGATAGGCAGTGTTGTAACTGCTGTACATTGAGAGCTCTTCACATCACTACTTTGTATAGTAGACGCATATTGTACAATATCAAACTATTTCGAACAAAGCCCCAAGTACTTGGCTTCAATAGTTAGAAACTGTTCTGGATTTCCGTGACTTTATTGTTGCTCCCGCCCCCCGGCTTATCACAGAGCTGATATCCTCACGTGACCGCCTCATGCGGAGGCCCAGATTGGAAGTGAACTGATCAATTCCGGAGCCAGAGAGCCAAACCCGCCGCAGCACTCAAACTCAACGACAAATCTATCGTCCCACCTCTGCTCATCAGACGGTCGGAATTTACATTACTGGCTTAGTCGGGTTGTTCATCGCACTCGAGTTACGGACCAGCCTTTTGTACGCGCTCGATCATGGCTACTAACGGTGATTCTGGTCGAGGTACGTGCGCTCAATGTCACGAGATACTGTTGTTGGGGTGATTCGAGCTGATTGGGGGTTCCTGTGTAAAGCGTCGTCGGTCGCTTCGAACTCGGGCAGCTTGGTGGATGCGTCGGGGTACAAGTACTCCGAGAAAGATACGAAGCCTACGAAGATTAAATTGAAGAAGGCGGCCAAGTCGGCCAAGGCGAAGAAGGCTGCGGCGGGTAGGTCTTTGCTGTATACGCTCGGATACAAGCTATCGGGTTGATCGAGGCACACTCAGACGGGATGGGATGAAAGGGGGCTAATATCATTCCTGCCTAATGTAGAAGTACCCGAATCGCCCGGCTCGTCGCCCGTACTCCCGGAGATCGATGAGAAGACCATGGCTGCCTTCCCGACGGGCAAGCCCCGCGAGGAAGACAATTTGGAGACGGTGATATGCAAGACGTGCAAGAGGCCGGTCCTCAAGCAGAATGCAGTAGAGCATATCCGCGGCTGTATCCGCGCGAAGCAGGAGAAGGCACGGCGGAAGAAAGAGGCGCGCGATGCGGCGAACCGGGCCAAAGAGAAGGATAAGGATGGGGACGACGACGCCGCGGGCGGCGACAAGGACGGGGATGATTCGATCAAGGCGCAGAAGGGCGCGAAGAAGAGCGCCGTCAAGGGCATGGCGGAGGACGGGACGAAGAAGGGCAAGAAGCGCAAGACCGAGGGCGAGGAGGATAAGGAGCCCAAGAAGAAAAAGAAGAAGGAGGAGCCTAAGCCTAAGGCACCGAAGCCGAAGGGTCCCGTCGATGTTGAGAAGCAGTGTGGTGTAATTCTGCCGAATGGTGCTCAGTGTGCGCGTTCGTTGACCTGCAAGAGTCACTCGATGGGTGCGAAGCGTGCGGTGCCCGGTCGTTCTTTGCCCTACGACATGCTTCTCCAGGCGTATCAGAAGAAGAACCAAGCCCGTCAGCAGAGTGAGTTTTTTTTTTTTTTTTCGTTTATTGTTGTTCTTCACGTTCACTGTGGAGTACGCGTCGAGCTGACTGTATCTTTTCTATCCTACAGAGGCGGCCATCGATGCGAATGCTCCGCTTCAGGATGATCTGGAGAACAACGGTCCCGTCGACTCGGACGAGGAGAAAGATGCCGTCATGGCTGCGATTCTTCGCTCGCGCCCACAACCCCTGGCCACTCATCCATTGATCTCGACCAAGAAGAAATACAAGTACGTGCGAATCAAGGAGATGCTTTCTCATGCCTTGGGCGGAGCTCGCGGCGGCGGACTCTTCTCGAGCGGTGACACCACTCCAACAAACGATGGAAATCCGTTTCAGCCGATGGACGATATTCCCCTAGCATCCCCTGTCTCCGTGACGGGATCAGACAACGCAACAGATGCAGCGAAGAAGACCCCTGCGCCAGCTCCAAAGAAGCTACCTGTGGCGGCCTCTTCGTAATTTTGTCTTTCAGTGCTTCATCCCAGCTGGTTATGGGTGATGACCGTCTTCTTCTTGTTTCGTTTCCCAGTATCTCTTTCTTGTCCTGCGGTTGGCGAGTGTGATGGCGTTTAATGGAGGTTCAGGGATGAGGTTCTTCTGGTATGGAGCTGTTCGGCTGTGATGAAATGATACCCCTAAGTTTATTGTACACCGGCATATGGAGTCTTCCTGTTTCAAGTTGGGTTGCTGACGACTTTCGATTCCTGTTCTCTTTTCTTCTCTTCATGGAAACATTCAAAGGACATATCACATTGTTATACACACAGTGTTAGAGGAAAATCAGACACTGCAGGTTATCTGTTTGAGAATATGACCCCATTAGAACCTAAAATATAAAAGGAGCTCTGTTCGGTAGAAACTATTTCAGCTTGTGGATCAAATCTGTATACTTACATCAGTTGGAGTTCTGCCTCAGGCCGCCACTGGTATCTCCGCAAGGCCGCCGGGATCAAAGAATGAACTTCGTTCTGCCATGGATGCGCCTCATTATCAATCTGGATAAAATGACCGCAATCTGATTCAACTTTCCATACTCGAATAGAGCCCTACGATCAAGGATTGCGCACACCTTTCACTTTATGCGCCTCCGGGCGAGAGCTCACCTGTCGCTCCAGCTATACTCACCTCCAGCTCGTCCCTCGCTCCACGCGCTGTAAAAGCCACCGTTACCCTTCCGTCCAAGATGGTCAACACATCCGTTCCCGATCTCGATGCTGTAGGCATCAAAGCCGAGCCCGAACTGGCGGATCAATTCCGCCGGGAGGTCGCCACCTTATTGGGGCGCAATAACCTCAATTTCCCCGGCGCACAACCGGTCAGTTTTTCGAAACGGCATCTCCTCGAGCTCCAACGGGAGGACTACTACGTATGCGAGAAAACGGACGGGATTCGATGTCTTATGTACTTCGCACGCGGTGAATCCGAGGAATCACCAGAAATTCACTACCTGATCGACCGCAAGAATGACTACCGCTACGTGCCGGGCCTGCACTTCCCCCAGCCGGGCGACGAGACGTTCCAGTCCTTCCACGTCGATACCCTAATCGACGGCGAGCTGGTCAATGACACGTACGAGGACGGCACGCAGCAGCTCAAGTTTCTCGTGTTTGACTGTTTAGTTTTGGACGGGCAGAAGCTCATGCACCGGACACTGGACAAGCGGCTGGCGTATTTCAAGGAGAAGGTGCTAAAGCCGTACAACGCGCTCTATAAAAAATTCCCCGAGGAGAAGGAACACCGCGCGTTCGCGGTGGAGGACAAATCCACGCAGTTCAGCTACGGCATCGAAATGATGTTCCGCGAAATCATCCCCAAAGTCAAGAAGATCCACGGCAACGACGGCCTCATCTTCACCTGCCGCAGTACCCCCTACCGCATCGGCACGGACGAGCACATCCTCAAATGGAAGCCCCCCTCCGAGAACACCATCGACTTCCGCCTGCGTCTCGAGTTCCCCCTCCTCGAACCAGACACGGACGACGAAGGCGACGGCATCACTGAGCCCTACCCGGACTACGACGCCGTTCCGATCTGCCATCTGTTTGTCATGCTCAACGCCAACGAATACCAGCCCTGGGGGGAGATGTACGTCTCCGAGTCGGACTGGGAGGCCCTTAAGGCCCTGCAGGTCCCGCTGGACGACTCGATCGTTGAATGCTTCAAGGACGAGCAGGGGAGGTGGCGGTTCCATAGGCTCCGCGACGACAAGGCCGACGCCAACCACATCTCGACCGTCGAGAAGGTTCTCGAGAGTATCGAAGACCGCGTCACAGAGGAGGATCTCATCCGCGTCGCGCCGGCAATCAAAGCCGCCTGGAAGAAACGGCAGGCCCAGGCCGCTGCCGAGGAGGAAGAACGCAGACGCCGTGCGAGACCGGTGCCACCCAGCGTGAACGGAAATGGGGTCAAGAGGAAATTCGAGGAGTAGACCGGCCGTCATCGTTTTGCCTCTCAAAATAGCTCAAGGCTGGCTGCTTTATCTTCTGGCCTTTGTAACTTATTTCACTCACATCGATGTTGGTTTGCAAGGCGTCTGGCGTTTATCATCTGCGATATCGCAGAGCATGGGAGAGGAGCAAGGAAGGAAGGCAGTCACTGCGGGGGTTCTGGGCTCAGCTTGTGTATCATCTTTCTCTTTAGAATTCGCAATCTCGAGAAGGTTTTCGGTTCGGCCATTTCGCAATTCCCTACGGGTTCGAGTAGTACAAAGGGGCTGCTCTACTTGGCTCTACGCGTTGTTGGAACTCTTGTACATATCACTGTGTTCTCCGATGTACGAGACAAGAGGAAAAGAAATGGCTCTCATAATATGACAAAAAATACACCCTAGAAGGCATTCACCGCTTCTTGATGCTGACATCGAGATTTCCGACGACCCACGCGGCGACGAAGACAGTGAACATTCCAGCAGTGATGGTGAAGGGCTTGCGCAGGCCGTCCCAGAAAGAGTAATCGTAAGTAACCTAACGCCATGTCAGCATGTCAAAAGTTCATAGAAACGACTAGGGGCCAAACTTACCACTATCTGAGAATCACGAGCCTCGTCCGAGAGATTCTCGACTGTAAGGGTCAACATTGTGTGGCCCAATGTGTCCATGTAGGTCTTGTGCTTGGAAATGTGAGATTGGATCTGGCTCGAGCTAGGGAGGCCATTGCTGGAGGATCCCTCCAGAACCTGATACCGGACATTTCGAGCGCCCTCGGGAAGGATCACCCTGACAACGACCTTCTCGTACTGAGCTCCCTCAGGCACCTTGAATCCCTCGATGAAAGGGACCTTCAGGACATAGGAGTCGGCACCGGTAGCTGCCTTACGCAGATAAGTGGATAGCTCATCATTCCAGCCAATGCGGAAGCTGTAGTTCCAGCCACCAAAGATTGGGAAACGAGGACGAAGCTCCAGAGATCCTTCCCGCTTGGGGGGCATTCCGGGCCGGTAACGGCTCGTAGAAACATTGCCAATGTCATCGATGAAGTACGGATCGACCGAACCAGGCTTGAGAGGATACTTGAGTTCACGGACCGCCGAGGACGGCAACTGCTGGTAGTTGGTCAAAGTCCACTCCACGCGGGAGAATTGGTTCAAGAGCGTGGAGCCATTGTTGCGGAGCCAGTACCGCTCCTCCGTCGCCAGGTTTCCACCCCAATGGGAGACCTCCAGGTCCCGCTCCAACAAGGATGCGGTGATCACAGGCTTGGTGAATTCGTAGCGCACTGAGATAGGGTAACTAGTTCCTGGAGCAAGCTTGGCCGTATCATAGGGGCCGTACGTGTAGCTGGTGCCCTGACGCTCGGGATCGGAGCCGGACTTCAACCCTGAAGTGGTGGTGTAGTCGGGCACATTGGTACTGGGGAATTTAACCTTGGTCTTCTGAGTCACTGTTTGATATGCGGATGGAGTATAAGCGGAGAAAGAATAGGTGAGATACTGCTTGTCAGCTTGGCCGATGGCGGCGGGGCGTGGAATGAGAGAGTTGAGGAGGGAGTATGAGATTCCCAATGTGATTTGAGAGGACGGCGCAAGCGGCTCGGGAAAGTGAACGACAAAGTACTGGTAGTCGCTGCGAGGACCAAACAGGTCAGCTTTTTGCAATATCCGACTAGCATGTCCAGAAGCAGAGAATCTCCAGTGAAGCAACCGTGGCGTCGGCAATACCACGATCAAACAGAGCCATTGGCAGTCAATTGCATACTCACCTTGGTGATTCGACTTCCACAGCCTCAACGGCAAATCTGCCCTTCTCCGAAGCCTTCTTGTCCCTCACCTCCAATCCTCCAACCTTGCCAAACACGTCCGATGGGAAGGGTATGTAGTAGTCGCTCTGCGGTTGTTTATCGACATTCTCAACGACAACATTGACGGTTTCTCGAACATATCCCTTCTCCAAATTGATATTCCGGACCATATTCACATTTTTGAATACCTGCTGGGGCTTGAAGTCTGCGGGTAAAGCGACTCGCGAGCTGGTCGACGAGTCGGCGCATACTAAGCTGCTCGAGAACAACAGCCCGCAGAGCGCAGTGACTGCGGTAAATGGCCTCATTGTGACGATGGGCGGTCTTTTTGAGCAGACCCGCCGCTGTACACAATCTATCTCACCGGGAGATGCCGAGAGAAGCACAGGAAGATAGATTGGAAGAATTGGGGGAATGGAAGGGAGTAAAGAGAAGGTCCAAAACTGTCCAGATGCTGAGGTGTCCCCAAACAGTAGTTGGTTACGTACGTCCGTAAGGTACCGTACCTTAATTACGGCAGCCAAGGCGGCACAATCAGCTTATCGGCGATAGACCGATAGCTAATTACTACTGCAACCTGAGTCCACTTTCCCTCGTCCAAACATTGTCAATTGTCATCATTCATCTGTCCTCCTGTTGCTTTGATTGATTTACAAGAGTCAGTTTCGTATTGTTTTCCACAGCGACCGACTGCCCTTGTCATGCTTTCACAAGCCGCTGCCCGACTCTGTTGCAGAGCTCGGGGACCAGCAACAAGAGCTCCTCCGGTAATTCGACGCTATCATGACGTCGCACAAAGCAAATTCTTGAAAGTATCAGAGGAGATTCGTGATGCGGTGGCTACAGGGAAGCCAGTAGTGGCACTGGAGTCTACGATCTATACACACGGTATGTCTGAGCCAACATGGCCATGAGTAGCAAGCGAGGCTAATACCAATGGTAGGCTTTCCATATCCCGAGAGTGTCGCTCTCGCCTCTTTGCTTGAATCCGTCGTTCGAGTCAATGGTGGAATTCCTGCCACAATCGGCATTCTCAATGGGGTTGCTAGGGTTGGCCTTGGTGCTGAGGAGCTCATTGAGCTAGCATCGACGGCAGAGAAAAAGAATGCCTTGAAGGTTTCGCGTAGGGACCTCGGTTATATATGCGGTCTGGTACAATGACTTTCAAATATGGGGATCTCAATTACTTGACTGACGTTTTTCAGGGAATGGCTGGTAGACGACTTCATGGAGGAACAACAGTTTCGGGAACAATGGTGCTTGCTCACTTGGCTGGTATCAAGGTGTTCGGGACAGGTGGTCTCGGTGGGTATACCGCTATGCTATGGTTTGCGTAGACTGACTGACCTAGGTGGTGTTCACCGTGGCGGGGAGTCGTCCATGGATATCTCGGGTACGTGAACCAATCTCACCTCGCGATGTGATTTCTAGCTGACCTGAGCGCGATGCAGCCGATTTGACTGAGCTGGGACGGACGCCTGTTGCTGTTGTCAGTTCCGGATGCAAGAGCTTTCTGGATATCCCGCGGACACTTGAGTTCCTAGAAACCGAGGGAGTCTGTGTTGGGACATTTGCCGATGGCCGTGAAGGCTCTGTGGACTTCCCTGCCTTTTTCACACGCGACAGTGGGATCAAGAGTCCCAGAGTAATCCGAGATGAAGCGGAAGCGGCTGCGATTATATGTAAGGCAGCCAGGCCTCTCTTCACTCAATTGGCCTATTCGTACTAACACAAAACAGACGCGCAATCGAAGCTTCCTGTAAACTCTGGTATCCATTTTGCCAATCCAGTGCCAGCGGAACAGTCGATCCCCAAAGGCGAAATGGACACGATAATAGAAGAGGCGATTCGCTTGGCTGAAGTCGAAGGCTACCGAGGAAGCGACAACACACCTTTCGTGCTTGCGAAAATCAAGGAGCTTAGTGGCGGAAAGAGTGTGATTGCCAACAGGGCCCTGGTCGAGGCCAACGTGAAGCGCGCAACCAAGGTGGCGGTTGAACTTGCCAGATTAGAGCAGGCCGATAGAGGCTCTGAAGGCCGGTGAGTTTACCATTTTGATGGTTATGTGATAAAAGATTACTGCGAAACTTAGAATGTCCCTAATGTTGCAGACACATGCCAGTAATCTCCGAGAGCGCAAGAGCTGACCAAGCAACTTCAGAGGCCGCGGTGGACCGTAAACCCCTAACTGAGAGTACAATTGAACAACTGGATAAGGCAGATGTCCTTGTTGCTGGCTCTCTTGCGATCGACCTGTCCTGCGATTATACCCCCTTTGCTAGCGAGAGCGACAAGGTCACACCCGTTCCTCACACATCAAATCCCGCGGTCATCGGGCAGAGCCTGGGCGGAGTAGGCCACAATGTTGCCATTGCGTCTCATTATCTTGGAAGCTCTGTCCTATTCTGCAGTGTAGTCGGGGATGATCTGAGTGGCCGTGCTGCGCTGTCCACGCTCAAGGAGGAGGGGCTCCCCACCACCGGCGTACAAGTCCTGCCTGCCTCGTCTGGAGCGCGCACGGCACAATATATCGCCATCAACGATGCGAAGCGCGACCTCGTTGTGGCTATGGCTGACATGGGCATCATGGAGCTGCCGGAGCACATGCTTGATTTTGACGAGTTCTGGGAGCCCCTGATCCGCCGCACGCAGCCTCAGTGGGTGGTCGTGGATGCGAACTGGAGTCCGGCGGTTTTTGCCAGATGGATTGCCGTTGCTAAGCAGCACGGTGCGCGGGTCGCCTTCGAGCCAGTCTCCACGGCGAAGTCTCGCCGTCTGTTCTCCGAGAGTTCCGAGGTGGATGCAGCAATTGGACCGGCCGGGGCTGTCCCCAACAACGGCATCAGTCTCGCCGCTCCTAATCAGTACGAGCTCACAGCCATGTACACGACAGCCCGCGAATCAGGGCTGTTCGAGTCCGAAGGCTGGTGGCGCATCATTGACGCCATGGGAATGTCCGCGTCTGGCTCGCGAGACCGCCTCGTTGCAATGACGACTGCCGAGCTGGTGGATCAGGGAATTCCACAGCAGAGCATCCAACTACTTCCCTTTATTCCGTGCATCATCACGAAATTGGGCGCTCGGGGGGTTCTGGTGACCCAACTGCTGCGTCCTGGAGATGCTCGTCTCACATCTACTGATTCGGCGCCGCATATCCTCTCTCGCGCCTCGCCTACAGATGAGCTGATCGGGGGTGTGTATATGCGGCTTTTCCCTTCGGCGGGAATCCTGGCGGATGGGGAGATTGTGAGTGTCAACGGTGCGGGGGACACGCTGCTGGGCGCGGTTGTTGCTGGGCTTGCAAGGGGGTCAGGGAAATCGGTCGAGGAGGTCATTCCTCTAGCGCAGGAGGCTAGTCTGAGGACATTGAAGAGTCCTGGGGGTGTGAGCAGGGATCTTGTTGGCCTGCGATCATTGATGGATGCCTTATAACAGTGTCATGTCACAGATATCGATATAGATGACTTCATACCCGAGCCTTGACTCGTGCGCGACTTGTACTCTCCACGGTCTAATCACTACTACTCTCTACCCATTCAGGACCCTCTCCACCCCTTCCACACCAACAACAGGCAACCTTTCCACATCCTCTCTGCCCTCCCTCGTCTTGCCGGTCCCGCGGAAACCCCCCGGCACGAGAGCCGGATCCAACAACCCAATCTGCACCAGCACACTCGCCTGGTCCCAGTAGATATTCTGCCGGGAGAGCTTGCCCGCGCGGAAACTGGCCGTCATCACGAGGACAATCTTCACGTCGCGGTCCGTGGGCGGTACCCGCGGGAGCAACCAGGGTATTTCCTCGGTATGGCGGAACGCAAGCAGGATCTCGTCGACGATGCGGTCCGGACCGACGGTGCGAGAAAGCAAGCGGATGTGCTGAGATGGGGGCCCGGTGGGGAAGAACGCTGTCGCGTAGAAGGTTGAAATCGAACGCTCATCGCTTCCTGTTTCATCGATGCGGTAAGCACACAGCACACACCGCGTGTCCGGGTGAATCAGAAGGTGACAATGACAATGACAATGACACATACCCCCAACCATGGTCGGAACACAATTCACCAGCGGGGTCTCGTCAATCTGCCTGTCTAGACTGTTAGGATCCCCGCTCCCAATCATCATCTTCGGCGTCTTGGCGGCGTGCTGCTCCGCCTCGGCGTGACGGTTCGCATCGAAGAGCAGATTCCGCCAGTATTCCTCCCAGATGGTCTCGACGTCGGGCGTCTTCCAGCTCCCGCCGGGCCACCCGAATCCGCGCTTGAGGCAATCCAGCGCTCGGCTCCAGGCGAGTCGGGAGCTGATCCGGTCGTAGGTCGGACTCGGGTGCTCTGCGAAGCCCGGTTCGGACTCTGGGTAGAAGAAGAGGTGGCATCTGTGGCGCTTTTTGCTGGGGTGGACGCTGTAGTCATCCCAGAAGGAGGAGCTTTGATGGCCTGCTAGGTGGATCTGAATGGGGAGGAGGGAGAGGGATGAGTGGCATGAGGAGGTGGATGTTGATGTGGTGGAGGGCGGAAGAAGACATGGCGGGGATCTGTTGATCTGGTCTGAGTCTCCCTTGCAGGTTCTTTCAAAGGGTCCTCGGGGGTAGTAGGTGACTAGAGCGCACAATCTGGGAAGAGGATTGGTAGCTGTTGTGGACTGGTGGTGCGATGCGAGGAGCAGAAAGGCCGGCCGGTGATATGCTGGTTTTCATGAGCAATTGGCTCCAACCTAGACAATAGACGCCGAGTTCGAAAGGCTGGAGCTGGACATACCAACGACGGCGTATCTTTCCCCGGGCTCGAGATCATCCTCCCTCTCGTGCAACAAGTTCTCCAGATCCTTGCGATCTCTCTCAACATCTTCGTTCCCACCCAGAAATGGCAAATACTCCACCTCGAACCCTTCGCCTTGGAAGCGCGCGATTATGCTCGAGTCGAAATCATGCGTGTCAGACGTTACATAGAGACGTCGCGGAGATGCGTCCTGTTCATCCTTGCGCCTGTCGGTGCTGGAGAAACTTGGGGACCTGGGCGACTGAAGAGGTGTCGCGCTGGAGCTGCTGCTGCGACGCCGTCGAGAGAGATGCTGGCGCAGTCTATCCATTTTGCCTGGGAATGAGCCAGCTATCCCTTGGGAATATCTCAATGCTGATAATGATACCAAATTTGACCTTTTGAAAATTAGCACAGTACTAGCTTAATGACTTTCGACATATACTCACTGGCTGGGATATACATATGTATATACCGATCATTTATCACCGCTCTAGCTACACTCAATGCATTTCCACACAAGCCAACATAGGAATATGCCGAATGACATAAGTTAAGACTCTTGGGGTTTCTGTATCCCCATGAACTGGTTTGCTCGCATTCCCCCTGTACTCCATACATTCCTCGGCGCCAACACCGCTCTGACGTCGACGATTATTGGCACCGACGGCACGATCCAGTCAGTGTGTTCCAGACAGGCTTCAGGCTCCATCGAGTCAATCGAGGATCCATTCTCGAACCATACGTTGTAACAAGGGGTCTCCGAGCGCATCCGCGTCTTTACCTCGTAATCTCGTCGCTGGTGATAGGCTATAGGGCCGATCGCCTGGTTAGTGAATTGCGCACGTGGACGTGAGTCTACAGCCAAACAACAGTTTATAGGTATATACAATCATCACGTCTATAACCTAATCTCCTATCGGGAATGATAGAAAAAGCTCAGAATGTCACCAACCACCTCCGCTGCTCCCTCACCGCATCCGAACACTCCTTCTCGTCCCCATCAAGATAACATTCGTAAGCCTTGCGCTGCAGACTCTTCCGCGCAACCTCGCAGTCGACCCGGATATCCTCGACCAACGCCTCAAGCGACACGTAATCGTACTCCGGGCGAATATACCCCAGAATAAGCAGCTTCAGCTGCGTCCCGTAGAAGTCAGGCAATTTGTGGAATTTCACCTGTCCCGCTGCTCCCGCCCCTTCTGCCGTGGGCGACGGCGATGAGAGCGGTGGCATGATGTGGATTTCCTATAGCTATTAGCATTGGCATTGCCCCCTCCCCGTCCCATAACAGACTATACAATCTCCTCAAAGACACACAGCACAAAATGGCAGCAGGGGAAAGGGACGTACAATCGACTTCGTCTTATTCTTGTAGAACGGGTTATACCCGATACTCAGCACAGCAGGCAGAATAGCCGCTGCGGCTGTCGACGAGCCCTGGCCCTCCTGGTACTGGAACTTGGCTGGATCAAGCGCAACAACGCCATAGTACACCCCGACCTGGAGATCGGGATACTCCGACAGTCCCTCGGCGGGGATGTTGGCCGTCGGGATGCCCAGCTATTGACCGTTAGCTTCGGCCTCTTCGACGGTATAATGGAAGAGGTGTGTATATCCAGTGGAAAGGGCCCTACCTCTTTACTTCCCCGTCCAAACCCCTTGATCACGGGTCCGGACAGACGCACTGGATATGGGGGTTCGGGACCGCTGTCTGGCCCCGCGACGGGATCCCGAGGTCCATCCGGTCGCATTGCGAGGTTGTCCTGATGCTGTTGTTCGGCTGTCTCGATTTCGCTATCTTCTCTTGGGTCTCCCTTGCTGGAAAAGAGGGAGTCGGGCAGGGATTACTTTGTATGACTTGATGGAAACTGGTCGAAAACATTGCGGAAGATGCTCGTATTGCTGTGAAGACCCGACGCGGGGTAAGATCATGACGATGGTGGTCAAATATCATTGGTTCGATTAGTATTTTACAGTCCTTGTAATGTACGGGAGTCCTCATGGGAGTAGGTAATCATCCTGACAACTGGAAGGATTCAGATGCTGTAGAATTTCTCCAAGATCATGGATCCTCTTCTTTACGGATTTGAGATGACGAAATGGACTTGGAGAGGCTTCAAATAGCCTATTACTAACGTCGTAGATTTGTTCATCCTCTCCATATGCCAGAGATAATCACTGTTGACACACCATCTTCCTCGCCAGACGGACAGGTAGGATAGAAAAAAAACAAGGATAAATATATACTTGAATGCGATGTTCAAGTCATTCACATGCATCCGGCAGGAGAGAAAAGTCTCAGGATGCGGTGCCGGACAGGCAGAAACAAATATGTTCAGACTGGCCCAGTAAGACACATTGGAGACAGTAGAACCCTCATAAGACAGCTTCGAAAAGAATCGACAATCGTACACTTCAAAGAAGAAAGTTATGTACCAATGCAACAGCCCTGTTCGAGGGCGGAACAATGAACAACATTAATCACAGTCGAACGCGGTTGAACTTTTGATCCATCCGAGGGTATGAGATAAAACAAATAAACAAGATGATCAATAACACATTCAAAGCATTAAAGGGACATCCGTGTACGAACCACCGACAAGGTGATCGAATCATATGCACGGTAAGAACTGTAATCGAAATCAGTATACATCGAGTTGTCAGGGTCCTCGAGAAACTTACATTCATCACAATAAGCATTGGAATGTCAAATACGTCTCTTTTCACTGTCCAGCAGTAGGCGCATTCGACCTTGCCATCCTTGAAACCCAACTGATTCATCCCGGCCTCGCCGGCGATCCCGCCTTTGCGCAGGTGATTATTCCACCTCTGGTTGTCATCAGACTGTGCGAGCTCCATATCCTCCTTAGTCTTGTACTTGAGCAACTTGCATGTCGTCATGACGCTGCCGCGGGAGTCGCCAAAGGCAAGTCGAGCAAAGTCCTCGTAAAATTCCACCACGCTGTCGTCATCTAACAATTCAGCAAGGAATACAGGCTGCGGACGTCCGGGAGTGGCATTTTCCAGCGTAGAACTTCGAGGCGTAAAGCTGCCGCGGGATGTGGTGCCAGACTGGGGAATCGATGAGCCTCCGGTGTTGACATTGAGATTCGGCTCCTTGCCCAGCAACACATCCTTCTTCCATCCGGTGAGAATGCTAAACTCCTTGCCGACCGCTGCAATCTCGCCGGTACGTCTGCAGACGATGGTCGGCGTCCCACACGCGTTGATAAAGTCCTCGTACTCCCAGAGTGTCCGCTGGAAGCACTTCTCCATGAAGATCAAATCATCCCGGTTGAGCGTCTTGGTCGTGGCAATAAACGATGGGCGGATCGACGCTAATGCTTTCGCAATCTGCAAGGTCTTTTGCGGGGAAAAGCGCCGTTGGATAAAGGCCGTCAAATTATGGAAGCGGTTCGTATAGGCATACGGCTCTTTCACGTTCTCATACACAGTCGACGGGTTCCGTTGACGTCGTTTGATTCCCAATTGCAAGCTCTGATGCTTCAGGCTTGGCGTCGTGATCGCCGGCCGTTGTCCGCTGGCAGTTAAGCCGTTTGACTTATTCGCGACCGCATTGCTCAACGCATTATCATCATACCCGCTGTTAATATGAGGGCTCGTTGTCGCACTGGGGCTGGAGAAACTGGCCGGTCCGCTCTCGATGGCAAAAGCATGTGGCGCATCAGACTTGGACATGTGCATCATGCCGCCCTGGGGATAAACGCCGCCAACACCCAGATGCCCTTGATTCGGAGCCTGGCTATTCGGCCATTCATTCAGGAGCGGGTCGTTGCCAAACATGAAAGGTTGCTGGTTCCCAGGACTCTCCCCGAAGCCGGGGCCACCGGTGATGGGTGTCGTAGAGTATTGCGCGGAGCCACTGCGGCCCATCGATCCTCGCTGGGTGGCGGAATCACTGGGAGAGTCACCAGCACCGGTCGCCATATGGCCGAGCATCCCAAATTCCAAAGCACCGTAGCGATTCTCAAAGTTCATGCTAGAAAGGTCAAAGTTGAAGAGCGCAGGGTCACTTGGGTCAAAGAATGGTCCGGCGAGGGGATTCTGACTCTGGTTGGTGGCGCCTGATACGGTCGTGTTGGGTGGCTGTGGGTTCACCGAGGACGACAAGCTATTACTTCGAGCTGTCGGAGTAGACTTCATGTTGAAGGTCGGGGAAACGGGAGATTGCGAAGGGAAAGAACTCTGTGCCAAGGGGGTATCTTGATAGACACTGTACGAGTTCGATTGAGGCGTGGGATAGTAATTGGACCCCGAATTCTGCTGAGAGTTTGTATTGACCGTATTGGCGCCATTTCGAGAAAAGGGCAAATTGTTTCGCATCGCGTTGTTGTTGTTGTTGTTGTTGTTGTTGTTGTAGAAATTTCCACCAACTCCAGGCATCAACGCTCCATCCGGCGCATCGTGCAGGTATTTAGCCTTCTTCCGTACACCGTCATGGCACGCATCCTGAAGACCCCGTTTGATACAGCGCTGACACGGTCTCTCGTCACCTAAGAGGCAATTTCTCTATCAGTTGGGTCGTTCCATGCAGGAGGCAGGGTTAAATGCGCGCGCGAAGAAGCGAGCAGGAATATCAAACTCAGAAAAGCAGAAAGGTTACACAAGCGTACCGCAAGTCAAATGCGCCCGTTGACAAGCGAAGCAAGCCCTCCTTGCCTTCTTCCTTCGTGGTCTTGACGGATCCTTTGCATTGGCCGATTTCGGGGCATTCTCAGTAGCGCCGTTGGTCTTATGCTTCGTTTGCTCCGTGCGATTGCCCACGTCGGCGGTATCCTGATCGTCTCCACCATGACCATGATCGCCAGCCGGAGCTGCAGCGCGCTCCTTATCATCCATCTTCATGTCGACATTAATAACCTCGAGACAAACGGGGTTATCGGTTGGGGTTCTTGTCGTGTGGGCGTCACACTGCGGCGAGGGAAGGACGTCACGTCAATAGCCGTCGGCTACCGCCTGTCACCTCTGGTGCTTCTTTCTCCGTTACCAGGCTAATGTAATTCTTCGATAATAGGCGGACTGCGACCGAAACACTGCTTTAGGGTATCCAGATTGACGGCTGAAACTTTTACGCTCGGCCTTTTTAATCCGGATAAACGATGTACCACATGGGAACCGCTGTCGTCTCGAAGTCGAGGGATGTGGATGGGGCGAGCGGCAAACCGACTACCGGAGCACAGGAAAGACCTTGGATACTTGGGACAGTGAACCGAGGCGCAGGCCACGACGCGAAACCGCGGTCAGGACAGTCCGACAATGATATGAACACAATCACGCGGACGTGATAGAATGATAATAATAATAATACGGGATGACTGTGCGGCTGAAGTATGTAAAGAACTCGAACGGGTGGAGCGTACAGTAAGTAAAGACTTGCCGGGGCTGCGGGGAAAAGATGACTCGGGAGGTTCGAGTTGAGTTCACTTTCAGATGCTGCGGGTAGATTCCATGGAGAAGATGTAAGATTGAGGCGAGAGCAGCACTCGCGATTAAAGGACCTTGGGGATATAGAAAATCAGGGCAGAGAGGAGGAGGAGTGGAGAGGGAAGTGATCAGATGCGAAAAGAGAAAAAAAGTAAAAATCGAAAACGCGGGGGATTGAAAGCACGGAAAAATGGACAGGGGAGAGAAATTATTATTATAGAGAGAAAAAGGCACGACGGGGAAGTGTCCAATTTCAAGGAATAATTGTAACTCGAATACCAATAGTGATAGTAACAGAAAACCTGGTGGCTTTTGGCTATGCGTGGGAACTCAGTCCGTCCGTCCACCAGGTTAGCCAACACGAGTCGCGTGTCCAGACTCGCAGACAAGAAAGTATAACTGCTCGGATCAAATGAGGGATTTTGATATAATTTGCAGTATCAGAAGCAGGTAAGAAATCATGCAGATAGATAGTCAGCCAGAACCTTTACAGGTCGACTCGAAGCTAGTATATTATTCTTTCCTAAGGAGGCCTGAGGCCTGAGAAATGAGGATAGTCTCTCAGGCAGAAAGTCAGGTACGTCCTGCTTTGTTTCAGTTTCAGCCTTACCACGTTGAAAGCAATTGTCATTCATTATTCCATCTACCCGATGGATTATATTCTCGAGTCCTGCAGATGTCATCATACCATGGGTCCAGAAAAACAGACAGAGGCAATTGCCGCATATATGAAACCTGATATGACCTGGAAGGCTAATCTCACATGCGTAGATCAACATCCAGACAGACAGCAATGAAGCTTGTGATCATACGGAGTATCAACCTGGTTCAAGCCTCAGGCACCTCCACTATCTTATCCCACGTGCTGCTCTATCTGAATCTCGATCATAGACTCATACTCGGTACTCGCTGGAGACTACTCCGTACCTAAGGTAAAATATCTAATCCTCGTCTCTCTTCATAACAATCGAGCACACAAACCTCAATCATCAATCCCTCAAACCCAACAACAAAACAAAACCCAATCCCATTTCTATGAGTCATTTTACGTACAGCAATGCCCTCGAGCTTCCCAAAATTACGCAAGGGTAATTCCGGAATGCCGCCAAGTTCCCCGTGATCACCCGACCATCAACAGCCTGCTCAGCTTCGGGGAATGCTTCGGTAAAGAGACTTTTCCTGTATATCCCTGCTGGATTTTTTATCCTGGATCATTCAGGCACCGTCATTGCTCTGAATGGAGCTATATCTTCGGCACCAGAATGCTGTTGTGGAAGATTGTCTACCTAGATAGATAGTTACTGCGCCGCGGAGGTAAGGTAATGCGCGGGAAAGGGCCGATGTCTAGCTTTGGTCTGGCTTGGCCTGGATTCGATTGCTTGGTAATGAACAAGGGTTCGTCTGGCCAGGTCAGTTAGGGATCAACTATGAGAATAGAGCAGCTTGCTGGTCCTCTGCTGTATATGGCCGATCGCTTGTCATACTTGGGTAGATACCTGAGAGCTTGTCTGTAGGTTGTTTAGATGAGCCATTCTGTTCGTCCTGTTGATTCTATGCATTAGGTATATTATGTACGTGTATGTCTGCATGGATGCATGCGTCTATTTTTAGATGTACAATCCTTGCCAGGTCAAAACTTTTAGCATGAAAGCAGCAAGCAATTTGCTCAGTCGCAGTATGTCTGAGGCACCATGACAATCTATGATATCTCCATACGCATCGAAAACAAAGTTGATGGTCTATCGCGTAGCAAATCGACTCTTCTTTCTGATACGGCTGCCATATCGGAAGAATATGTACCTGTTTTGTAGACCATAGTCAGCGAAAGATTCTATAGGTCAAGCCTTGCTATATTCATCATGGCTGTGAAAGCCCAGCAGCATCTTCAGGGTCTGGCAAATGCGGCAAGAATACCGCAGAGCCTAACCAGTTGCCGCTATTGCGGCTGACAGCTGCAAGCTTATGCAAGGAGGCTGGAGCATGGATCAAACAGAGTAAAATCACAAGTAGGAACCTCAGAAAGTCTCTGGCCTTCAAAGTGCGGAGGAAAATAGAAGAATACTCACGGAAATGGTGACATGACAAGCGTCAGAAAGGCCAGCAGCGATGTCGCCCAATGATAACCAAGGTTATTGTACACTGCATTTGAAGAATCAGCAGTGACCAGGGATTTGATGAAGCACAGGCATTGCAGTTCGTAACAACAGGTCAGCTGAGTGGGACTCTACCACCGTGGCCGGTTTAGACCGTTCTCCTGACCTGTTGCTTCGGCTCGACTTCGTCGGATGACCGCAGGTGCATAGACAGGAAATTCGCAGCCAAAGCCAGGAAGAGAATGCTTACTTTGGATACCGAACAAGGGAAAGATACCGCCAAAGGTCGAGCGAGCAAAACTGTTCGCTGCCAGAGCGCTCGCTGCGTAAGTTGGATAGGCATCCACCAGAAAAGTGAATACGCCCGAGTATACGAGGATGGTCCTATTCGTGCAACAAAACAATTAGCGTCGGGTTATACTCAGCTTATCGGCGCTGCTGGGATTGCAATCAAGTATGAGGGTCAGCCCTATTGCAAACTTACCCGGCTCCGAAGAACGCACTGCCAATTAGGGGTACAATCCAGTGCACATGAGGAAAGATGGTCCAAGCAAATATGAACAGTCCTATTGTGACGAGCGGACCTCCAAGGATTGCTGCATCAGAAGAAAACAAATATTAGCAAGGTTTGTGCTTGCTCAATATGCGGATAACCTAGTCACCAGGAATATACGCACCTGGCGGTAGCCGCCATTCGGGCTGGAAGTCATCTGGTCTCCCAACAGCTTTTTCGTGATTCTTTTCCAGACGAACGTAGACTCGACGCCAGAGAGGATCAGATAGGATGGCAAAGACCATGCCGACAAAGAGACCAAGGAACGAGAGACCTCTCTGCCATAGCTCGAAGCCGTATACGTTGCCAAAGACGAGCTGGAAAGCACCAAAGAAAAGATAGAGGATACCCAGCAGGATGGCAGAGAATATACAGAGATTCAAACACATCGGCTCCAGCGCCAATAGAAGCCACGGCCGGTAAGTGGACCGCAGGACAGTGCGTGCTACCGAGCGGTTCATTCGTTCGATTGGAGCCTTCCACCTGTCGTCTCCCGTTTCTTTGCGCAGCTTTTGTGCCTTGCGTCGGAGGAGTCTAACCAAGTCAGGTCAGATGAACAAATGCCTTTAGATACGATACAGAAACCTGAGAGCACTCACACTGGGTGGTAGGTCTCCGGAACAAACAAGATAATCGAGACCAGAAGGACGCCGGACCAGATGAGAAGCACATAAAACGTCCAGCGCCTAAAGATATGATAGGCTTGTTAACGTAATGCTTTTCAACAAACTGAAAGACGAGCTCACCATGTCGTGAACTGGTTGATGAACCCGCCAACCCTGAAGATAAGTTGCTGTCAGTCCCTGTTACACAAGAGCGAGCTTCGACAGCGTCAAGGCCCGAGCTGAGACAATTCGAGGAGAACATACAGCGGGCCTACTTCTGGACCGATGAAAGGGGAAGCCGTGTATAGCATCATGGGGCCACTGAGTTCGTGGCGGTCAAACAAATCACCCACTGTACCACCCGCAACGCTGAGGAAAGCGCTGCCAGCAAGGCCGTTGAAGAAACGGCTCACGATCATAGTTTGGATGTTCTGCGCCACGGCACACGGGATCAACCATATCAGAAAGAAGGTAAACGAGACGATGTAAATCCACTTTCGACCATAAAACTATGGCATATCAGCAGCGGAACTCAGAGCCATGCAACAGTCAACAAACCTCCGACAAGGGCGCCAGAAACAACGGTCCAATTCCTACAACCAATTTCTGGTCAATTCCCGCTGAAACCATGCAAGTGAGACTCTTGAGCAGACTTACCCAAGCCCCAGATGAAGAAGGAAAGACCAAGAGTTGCTACGATTCGAGAACAGTCGAGCTCCTTCGTCAGCTGCTCGTAGGTGACGGTATACATGGACGAGGTGCAAGTGCTTGAAGCCGTACTGTCAGTATTGTCTATAGGCCTATGTTGCAGACTTGAGACTCACACGCAGAGAGAACCCATGGAGCAGATCACGACAATAAGCCATCGCCGGAGCTTGTTCATATTCCGGGGGTTCATCGGGTCATTGTCATCCCATCCGACAACAAACGCATCACCCTCCGCTGCTTCTCCCGGCTGGTTGGCTTTCTCTCCTGCCTCTTCGTCGGCAGTTTGACAGCTGTATCCATCGTTCAGAGACCAGCTGCGCTCAATGGTCGACGACGTAGTGCGCTGCAGTTTCTGTGATCGGTCGTTGTTTGTTGTGACAAACGCATTGATGGGTGCGAAAGTTCTATCCAACTCTTCGCCACTTGGTGTCTCTTGTTCTCGAGCTTCTTCCGCGCCATTCT